AGACATGTGTTGTTTTTATGTTGATTTATTGTTTTTATGTTCAGTCTCAACTGTTACGAAGTTGATGTGCAGTTAATAAGCGCAATAAATATTTATACTGGAAAAGAGAATCGTGATCTCAATTCTAAGCAAAAAAATCGTGATTCTCATTTTATGCAAAATCGTGCAGCCCTAGTATTAAATAAATAAATATTTTTTAAAGTCTGATAAGATTTAAAGATTATTGTTAGCAAGTAGCAGAACACATTTTAGAATCCAGAGTAACTGTATGATGTTACAGCACCAGTTTAAACAGACAGACATAACTAAGTGGAAAGAACCATACACTAACCAAAGATAGACATCAATATTTGTGTCAGAATAAAGATGAATGCATGCTGACCGCAGCTCCTATAGCACACCTGATGGAACTGTAAACCAACAGCAACAAGTGGCTGGGTTCCAGCCCAAATCTATTATGTAAACTATGTTGCTGTCAGATTATTGTTTGTTTTCATTAAACCAGATGCTCCTATAGTTGGCTGACAGTTGGTAAAACAGCTGACTACCTGGTTTGTATTTCAGTACATCAAGAAGAAACACTACCCACGTGTTTTTCACAGTGGCCATGCTCTGAACTATACATCACCATCAGCCTTAATGCAGATTTTGGAAAATATATTTATTTCTGCTCTAAAGTTTGGGATTTCAGCACGGGAGTCTACGGGGGCTGGCTCAGCCAACTGCACTGCTACATTTGTCACGTTGATGACATGACTGGTCTTAACAAACTGCACACTGGCACATTATTTGTCTTCATCTTAAAGTCGATAAATGTTGCTAATGTTCAAGTTAAAACTGAATTGTAGCAGTTTTCATCAGCTTTCTCTGTATTCTTGTAACCACGGTTGCAAATACTCACTTTTAAAATGATCTGAAGTCACTTAGATAAACTGTCTGCACCTTCAACCAAAGTTCTGCCACACGCATTCAGGTTTTGCAGAGGGTGAGACCAAAGTGATGTGCGTCTGTGATAATGGCGGCGCCATGGCAGTGGCAGGACACAAACCCACACACAGACACTGATAAGCATCACCTCCATCCCTCGGCCTGGCTCTGTCCTGTCTCTCTCTGCTCTGAAGCAGTGAGAGAACACAGAAAACACAGAGGACGCTGGCTGGAGATAGCTGAAGGAAGAAGATGAGCAGAGGTGGAAGCAGAGATGTCACCATATCAGAAATGTCGTTGTCAGTACAGGTAGAATTTCACATTCCCCACATTCAAAATCATATTCCCTTTTACGAATCAATATCATCCCTTAATAACTGCTTTAAGTCCTCGGTGCTTACGCGGCATCTTCAGAATTTTTGCATCGAACGGTTCTGGTGACGTCCCTCTGTCAAAGTGAAAGACACGTAACGCTCTGAAGATCACAGCAGAGCTGCCTCACCAATGAAACTGAAAGGTTATCCAATGCTTTTGTTTTATCACCACAAAAACTGCAAACATGTAAACAAATAAGCACATCAGAGGATGTAAATGAACATTTACCTCAACAGTTTATCATAGAGCCTGCGTGAATGAGCTTCAAGAGCCACAAAGACTCAATAAGAAAGACCTCTGTAATGTGATTTATAATACTGAAACACAAGGTTTATCATTTATTTCATTATTAAATAATTAAATAAATACCAAAATTCCAAGCAGTGAAGACAGACGATAAATCAGTGTGGGTACTATAAACACAGACTAATATATTTGTGTATGTCAAACTTAATTTGCCTCCTCTTTAAACATTTCAGCGTAATCTTTGGATTTCATTATATTGTTTAAATCATTATAAATGTACAATTAATCATTGTGAAACAGCTTTAACCATTAATAATTACATTACTGAAAAAAAGATTTGTTCTTCATAATCTGTGAAGTGGAATTTAATTCTATCAAATCTACATGTTAACAAAATAGTCGGGTACCTTCTGTTTTTCTTTTCTTTTTTTAAAACACGATATTACGGCCGAATGTGTGGGATTTGTTTTGTAACATGTATTTAAATAATGTAAATACAGGTTATGGGTGAATGGCAGAAAGTGGTCATGTTAAATAGCAAAGACAAACACGGTAAATAAATAATGGTCAAACCGCATCTACGTGAATCGGTTCATAAAGCACCTCTGGGTACGTGTTGAAAAGCAAAGGCTGGACGACAAAAGACGTGCAATCAGATGTGTAAAACTATTTGTGACACACCTTCTTGTGACACCCGTCGCAAATATTTCTTGACGCCTGACTGAAAAAGCGAGCGGTGGCTGTGTGTCAGTGTGAGGGCAGATCAGATGAATGAAACTCTGTCACAAGACGCAGCAGATAATGCCACAGATGCCACAGACGCTTCTTTATCTCCTTTATCAAACGCAGAACAACAGGATATAATGTCACGCAATAAAGGATGATTCCTCGAACCCACTGGCAGTAGGACCAGGCTCACAAACACACTTTCGCAATGCCTGTGTTGAGAGTAAAAGACATATTTTACAGGAAATCCTCTGAGTGGGATTGGATTATCAAACATCGTAACCAGATTAAAGCAGCCATGCTATTAAAGATCACTTGGAGTCAAATCAATCCTGTCAAATAGCTAATAGACTTTGCAAGCCTATTCAGACACGCTGTCACACAGTGCATATAAATACACTGGAATACAACAGCAATGCCAGAGAACATGTATAGCTGTGTATGGTGGGATGTAGCAGAAGTGCAGATTAAGAGTGTAAAAGGCTTTGCACTCCTAATCCACCTGGATGGGATTGTTCAGCTGTTATTCAATAACAGAGCGAATCTCTTTGCAGATATGGTCATAAACATGACTATCGTGCAGTTAGCTGGGTTAGGCTAATTGGCAGCTTGAAACTGCCCGTAGGTGTGAATGCGTGTCTGTGCATCAGACTGGTGACCCGTCCAGGGTGTACCCTGGGATAGGCTCCAGCCCCCCTCCCCACGACCCTGACAAGGATGAGTGGAGAGGGGCATGAGTGGATGGTGTTTTTTTAAAATGATTTATATCCTTTCGTGTTACACCTTGGAAACGTGTCTGTCATAAACCTTGAAGCAAAGAAATGATTACCTGTTACTTCTATTAGCATGCACCTCTTCAAAAAAGCACAGCTATTTTGGGACACTTACTTTATAATTGCAACCAGGAATGTTACAGCACTTTAGTCCACTTATAGACATTTTTTGTGTTCGTCTAGCTGTGAGATATCATATACCATAAACCTAACTGCTTAAATGTGTAAATAAATTAAAGAGAAAGAAGTAAGTGAATAAAGTGTTTTTAAAATTCTAATGAATTTTTACATTTTCAATTTCTATGGCCTATAAAAACGCGTCTCATTGCCAAGACGTCACAAAAGAAACATCTCATGATAAAACCAGTGAGCTCTATGTTGTTGCAAAACATACTGATAGTTGTAGAAAAATTTCTAAGGCTACAGTCACTCTGCAGATCTTGATGCTCATTTCCGATTTTTTGATCAAATGCGATTTTTTTGTCTGCTCATTCACACCACAAATAAAATGCGACGGCAAACACGCTCTAGTGTGAACGCTCAAAGCGGCCGCATGCGCAAGAGAAGATGTCACACACAACGCGCTCTGTTTAGACCCAGAGCAAACAGTATGTTTGACTGATGGCCCTTATTATAAAGACTTCGGACTTTACGTTTCCCAATTTTTGCTTTAAGTTATTTTGTTATTTACATAATAATGTAAATAACCTAATAATGATCCTTACTGCTGTTTTAGAGGAGCGGTGCTTCAAAGGATAGCTGCAGATTTCTGTCAGAATCTGCAGATTATACAGTACAAATAAAATGTTCACGTTTCTCCAACATTGTCTTCCCAACAGTTTCACTGACATCTACACGGGATGGCCAGGAAGCGTTCGCGATGTCTTCTCGGGCGCTTCTCCGGAGCAGATAATCGGTGTCTGTCTTGTGTCAGTGACGTAAAAGACTGATTTAATGCGACATGACCATCAAACAGCAGCCGCTTTCTGAAACATCAGATATGTATCGGATTCAGCACCAGGTCGGATTTGAAAATATCGGATTTGTGCCGTTCACACTGTCAGACCATGATCGGATACGGGTCGCATAGGGTCAAAAAAAATCGGATTTGATGCGCTTTCGCCTGCAGTGTGAACGTAGCCTAAGGTGTCAGTGAGCACCAGTGGGGCTATAATCCAGAAATGGAAATCCCTTTCACCTTAAACTGGTGCTCATTTCAAACAGGGAGGAAAACAATTATCAGAAGAAGCAAGGATCACGTCTGGAGAGCAACAGAAAGACCTGGAATCAGCAGGTACAAGAGATTAAAAAAATAAATAAATAATGCACTCAACCACCATGGCCTTTATGAACACTCACCACACTCGGTGGGTTAAGAAAAAGCATGCTGAAAGCAGGTTTAAAGGTTGCTGACCAACATTTAGACACGGCTGTGAAATACAAGGTCAAAAGGCGCTGCGCATATCACCCCCAAAACACAAAAAAACCTGCTGCCATCTACCAGGATGATGACGAGGAAACGTCGAGGAGACTCAGTACAGCTGTTATTGCTAATTGAAACTCTATGGAATGAACTAAAGCTCAGAGTTTATGGGAAGGACCCACGAAGACTTTTTGTGTGGAAGACGAACCTGAGCAACTAGTTTTTTCATATAGGACATCACCAACAAAGGCTTTTGTATCAAGTGCATAAACATACACTTTTTCTGTGTGTCATTTTTCATTATTAGACATAACTGTCGATTTGATAGGTTTTAACATCTGCATGAATGTGTGAAGTACAGAAGACAGAGCGGAAACAATGTAACAGCCTCAGCTGATATAACTGATGGGAACAAGATACAACGCATTTAACAACTTCACACCTCAGCAAAGTATCTGCAGTAAAATAATGAAAGAGAAGAAGCAAAGGTGTACCGCAAAACAGAAGAGGGGATGTTTAAAGTTTCTTACCTGATCCTGCATCCATGATGTTGGACTGGCCACGACGATCAGCCACCAACCGCGATGAGCCGGGCATGCTGACAGGCTCTGAGCGTACTGGCTGGATCCTAAACATGTTTGTTATGCATCCGTTAATACACACACTCACACACACGCACACAAAAAGAACACACGTCCACTGGGATCCAGATGCTTATTTAACTGGATCTGGTCTGTTGTTTCAGTGATTAAGTATAAAGCTGCTGACACTACAGGCTTCATTGATGTATCCATGATTATTAGAATATTAGGATAATTTCTGATTAATGACCAGCTCCACGTGTAGATCGTCTTTGCGTTTAGGCTGGTGTGTATTTCTATGAGAACAAATTTAAAGTACCTGAGGCTGTGGAGGTCCAGGTCGTCTGTGTCAAAGTCCAGAAGGGGCTGCTGAACATCGCTGGGGCCCTGGGACTGAAGCACCGAGGATGAAGAGGAGATGACTGTGGTCTGGCCTGAAGGATGAATTGTCTTAAACTGAAACTGGGGGCCCATCCACAGCCGCCGATGGGGGCCTGTATGAGTCACAATCTCCACCTGAAATGAGAGGTTTAAACTAAATAAGGTTCATTCAATTCAGTTTTATTTAGATTATTAGGAAGATGCATTCATTTGTCTAACGTGCTCCAGGCTGGATTTCACAGGGTGGCTCTGGCATCTATGTGCCAACGCTGAAAAATCCCATGCAGTACTCAGATGAACTCAGTTACATGGCATCAAACTAAAAGCTTGCTGTACTTGTGTACCACTAAAAGTCTGACGATGATGTCAGAACTCATCAATGTCTTGTGTGTGTTGGAAGTGCTAGCAGCCTGATGGGAAGCCTTCCCAGAGGGTTAATAGAAGTGTGACACTAGCACCGGCGTGGCAGCAAAGCTGAGGTGAGGCCTACAGGGACAATAAGATGGCACTGCTATGGCAGGCGGTCCATGGGCGCCTGAGCTGAGTGGCACTAATGCTGGCTAAAAGTAGGATAGGAGAAGGTTATGGAGTGGCTCACTCATAAACATCAGACTATTACTGCCTCGTCTATTCTCCATCTCCTCTTTGCCTTTATTGAACAGCCGTCTCCTGCCTCGCACTCCTGCTTTTCACTGCTCTCCCAAGCCGTCTCTACTTTGAATCCCTGCAGCAATTAGCACGCCTCTTGGTGTCTCGCTATTCGGATGTCATTATCTTTACTTCATACACATCTGTCTCTCAGCTCAGCTGAGTATTTTCTTCCACTATGGCTTCCATGTGCTAACATCTTAAACAATCTCAACTTTGCTGTGTCTGTTTACACAGACATTAGATATGTGAGGTTCATCACAGCTGTGCAAATTAGGCCACAGAAGGAGGGAGGATTGTCACTTTGCATGTGTGTATCCTTTTCCAGTTAACACCATCAATGTCACGCCCAGCTGCAGAGCCGAGACAGCTGCCAGCGTGCTCTCTTTGCAATGGGACGGTAGGTCCAGATGTTACAGTCCAGTATCAACCCCAAATGCACATCCCCTTGCAGACTTGTTGGACAGAGCTAGTTGACATGTTGCCACAGATTTGCCCATGCTGCTGTAGCCTCGACACCAAATGAGATCAAGCTAGCTGCCTCTGTCTGTGCAAAAGATTTTTTTTCTCTCAACCTTCGCATTTTCTCCTTCTTTATAGGCTGAATATTTTTACTCTTATAGCATCAGTACTATCTTTAGAAAGTAAGAAAAAAAGACGAACATCCTGTGCAAGTTTGGCTATTTTGACTGGCATCTTATAAATGATTGTCTGAGGTTAAGAAGCTGCACAAATATTGGCTAAGCTAATTTGCTTGTCAGTTGTTTTCATTTAGTGAAGTATTTACCATAAGCATTTAAGGGGTTGTGCTTGTGCATTTTTTAAATGTTCCTGTTATCTAATACTTAAAGGCAACACATCTCTTGCAAATAAACTGTTTACGTATTAGGAGACAATTAAGAGATGAACCGAGGTGGACTGTATAAGGACAGGAGTTTGTGTTGTCTACTCAGTCAGCTGAAGGGCAACTGACACTGACAGGCACCAAATGGCACAGCACTGCAGTGAGCTGAAGCACTGACATGGAGGGTCACAAACCTCACATTTCATTAGGGGATGGCCGATCAATTCTAAATCCCAATCTAATGCCAAAATGCCCACTGAAAATCTAATGAGGGCCACTGATATGATATAATGAAATCCACGAGGCAGTAGTTAGCCTCTAATTCAATATAGCCTATATGTATTTAGCTCTTCTCAATCCACAAAGCTATTATGCTTGGTATCTACGCTTTTCTTCATATTCTAGAGAAACCGAAGCAAAGAGGAAACTAACCAGTATACCCATATATCAGTTATGGTATAATATCCCAAATTCTTTGTCCAAATCATTTAATTTTAATGCTGGAAGAGCTGTAGAGTTAAATCTTCAACCACTGACACATACATTTTTATCACTGCTCTGACAGAAAGTCACCCAAAATACAGGTTAGTGCGAGGGATAGTTTTGCTCCTGGCAAACTATCATGGCAGATTTGAACCAGGGCCTCTGCTAGCTAAGCGAAGTACATTTTACCCAATCAATTATGTATGCAGTGGAATTATTGATGATGAAAATGTAGTGGGCTACCTGCCGACACTAGCGATAAGTGCTACTTGTGTTAACCAAGCTGAAAAGACCTGGGTGAGTGTGTCGCGCACTCAACCAGGTTATTTCAGTACAGTTTTGAATTGTGTTTTATCAGGTAAAAATACAAAATAATTTGTTTTTACAACACAATCACACAGTTATGTCAAAATATATTAAAATAAGGGCAGTTATGTGTAGGGTTTTCACTTGGGTTGGGAAGAATTTTCCAACTAAAATAATTTACATTTTTAAATTATAATTTACCTTCTTTCCATCATTAAGGGGAAAAAGCTATCCAAATCTACCTGGCCCTGGTGAACTGGTGGCAGCAGCAAGAACTGCAATCAAGCATTTGAGATAACTGGCAATGAGGGTTTCACTGTGAAGGAACTTGGGGGATTTTCTGAGCATGACCAGCCTATTTTGGTTACACAAGGCCAGGTAGGTTTGGATAGGAAAATAATTTCATGATCTATATGTTAACAAAAACCCTTTTTGTAAACAATAAACGAAGGAGACAACTTCAGACGACTGTATAATTATAGCAAAGAGACCGTGCAAAAGAGTTGCTAACCTCACTAGTTTTTTATGCATTTGCAACAAAATTTCTATTAACCTGATGAATGTCAAGTTATTATCTTCCTTTGAACTTTTTTAATCTCTCTAACTATTCAGATTTGACTGATGCTCCAGTGTTTACTCGCTGATATCAGTGAGTAAACACTGGAGCATCAGGTGGAGGTTCAGTGGATAGATAAAACCTTTCCTGCTTAAGCTAAAAACAAGCCTATGCCATATTATGGCACAAGAGTCCCACTGTGAGCTGTCTTCTTTTAAATTACACACAGTTACTTGACCCACAGATTACACTAAAAAGTGCAAACTTATTTTTTGTAATCCAGGATCAAGTTCAGGAGCAGGTCTAACTTTAATATGATGTTTGCAATGAAGAGTCATTAACTGATTTATCAGCGCTCTGAATTGGTATTTGTTCATTGTATTTTTAATTTAGAAGAAATAAAATCAAAATATGAAACATTTTCTTCTTAAGTCACCGTCATGTCATGTCAAACGGAAGCTTTACCTGAGAGAGCCACTCCTCATCCTCCTGGCCACTGTGGTCTGATTCCAGACTGTCGGATGACTCGTGACGTGTGATTGGGCCGGGGCTTCCTGGGGGTACAGCTGGGAAAAAAAAGAATACACAAGAATGATATACTTGAAAGCTGACGATAGCAAACGCCTAGTACTGTCACAGTTCTCAAGCCAAAAGATTAAGTGTAAAAGTCAAGTTCCATCCCTCTAAATACATTTACAGCTATTGGAAAAGGATATCAGAAAGGCAAAGCAGGGCAATGAATCTCATATTACTAATTAGAATTTACACAAATTAGCATGTAAAACTAATTAGACCTTAAAAGCAGTTTACCAAAGTGTGTTATTACAGCCTAAATGTGTGATTAGGCCTTTGTGTATGAGCATATACATTGTATACCATACACATGGGCTGAGTGACGTTAGTTTAAGCTAAGATACAATAAGTTTACAGTTAATGACTCGCTGGATGAAAGCTAGTGTTTTGGGACAACATCAAAAATCTCAATCCCATGTTCTCATGTGTATGTCGGTGCATGCAAGTGTTAGTAAAAAAGCAAGAGTACAGTGAATGTCTGTGTGTTACAGAGAGACTCAGGGACAGATGGCGCTCCAGAAGGCTTGAGTAAGCAGGGATGGAGAGAACGAGCCCTGATGCGCAGAATCAGTCTTTCTCCGTCTCCCACCCCAGGGATGGAGTTTCTTTAACACAAGCATGGCTAATACACTCGTCAAGTCAACATCTGGAGCACAGGAGGCACTTCTAACTATATCCCCATACACGCTCCAGGTGTTCGGACATCCTCGATGGAGGCAGTTTGGTCTTTGACGCCTGTTTAGCAGAATGCCACATCATCCCTCACCCACACCTCACCCCAACACACTCACACAGAACTATGCCGTCACATGTTTCTTAAACTTGGTTCTGAAACAAAAACCCAAACTGATCTGATGACTGAGTGTCATCTGCAACTCCAAATCATATCAGTACAACTAAAAGGAGAAATGAGTAAAAGTGCCCGGGGAAGTCGTAAAAAACATTGTGGCATAACAAATTCAACACACTGAAGGCTTCCTGTGGTCTTGAAAAAATAAGAGTGTTTGCCTCTTAACAAGTGGCCAAACAGAAATATGAGACTTTTTAATACCAAAAGCTTCTCCTTATTTCCTATTTGACAAACAGAGGCTACTTTTTCCAGGACAGCTTGAACTATTCTGGTGCTCTGAAATATTTATTCCCCTTTTGTCAACTGACAGAATTATGTCATTATATCTATAAGCATATTAGATTTAAGTGACTTAAGTGGATACAATCATTAGACAGTGAATCAACATTTTCTGAGTAATAATAATAATTAAAAAAGCAACTATGTAACTGTGATTTTATTAACTGGTTCTTTGTGTTATGGTGGTGCTAGTAAAATACTCCATGCAACTGTACAGTGTGATTTAAAAAAAAGCTTTGACTCAATTTTTATTAAATACAAAACATCTCTCCAAGCAACTGCCGTAGGTCACTATTGCACGTCATGGATACAGTGTCTATTTTCTCTTCCCCACTGTAGCTAAGACAAGCTCAGGCTGGTGTTTGTAGCAGGAGAGTTCAGATCTCAGTTTTGTGTCTAGTCAATAAAAAGCAACAGAGATGAGCTGAAATGTGCTAAAGGTCCTTACAGGGGAAGAAAGTGTGATATATATGATAGGTTGTGGATCATGCACGCCTGCGTGTTACCCACAAAAATACAGACAAGTACCATTGTCATTTTTTAACAATATAACCATTTCTTCGTATTTATAAAACAAGATTAATAGCATCACAGTGGCCTGGCATATGTGCATATGTACTAAACAGTGTGAGGAATTTTGGGTATGCAACCTAAGCATGCATACTCAAAAAAACAGCACATAGCTTGGCAGTGATGACACTTTTTATTGTTTTTAATAGTTGATTTCACTTCTTTGTATGTTATAACTTTAGTCTTCTGCCATTGGTTGAAGGACCCAAAATGGCCCAAGCAAGAGCAGCCCACAGACAGGCTGCTGCACATACTTTTCACTCTACCCTCTGGTGATTGTAAATGACTACAACATGTAAAATGACGGTCTGCAAAGCCAATAAAAGCAAAAAACACCTGCATGTTGAGTACTTGTGAATACATCAAATATGTTTTTGTTGCTTTGCTTCTTATTTGGGAGAAGCGACCCTTTCATGACCTACAGATGTCCTGGAGAGGAAAAGTGTGTAAGGCTTACAGTAAGAGGGAGAAACAGGGAGAGAAGGTTTCTCATGTCCTTTTAATGGAAGAGAGCTGAACAAAGCCTGCGTTGTGTTACTTATTAAACAAAATCACAACTCCCCTATTTCCTCCCGGTGCATTCGCTCTCCTACTTGGCTGTCCCTCACTCTCTTGTTCTCCTTCACTCTCTCTCTCTTCCTGCTCTCTGACCCTTGGGGCCAATAGCTGTTCCCTAATTAATTATTGATGTTCTAAAGCAGTTGTTGGACTGGCTGGATCGGGTTTCCAGTGGGTGGGTGTGGGGGTTTTCAATGGTCAGTGTCGCAGCCAGGCTCCATTATGGAGAGCTAGTGGTCATCCCCATGGGTCAGGCAAAGACACAACCCTTTTGCACGTGTTTGTTAGTGTGTATGTCAGGAGCCAGACTGACACTAGCAGTTACTGTAGTATCTACTCATCATAGCATCTAGCTAGCCAACCACTCGGCCTTCTGCTGCTTCTATAGTGGTCATTAGTGGCTTTTAAGAGACAGAATGTCAATGCAATTTCACAGAGAGCAAATTTTTTAAGTGCAAACGTATCACATTGCACTCAAGAAAGGAGTCTCATTGTATAGTTAGATCCACAGCGAATATGTTCTGTTGTTGATGGATTTAAAGACACATCAGCAAATGAGCAAGTGGCACGGTGCCATCACCCCACAACCATCACAGGAATGGAAAAGGACGGGTCAGTGGGAAATTTAGGAAAATGTACTATATGTTCTCTGACTCCCGGTATGGATTCTTTGACTTTTTTCTTTTTTAATGTATTGGCTACTTCAGAAAGAGTTGAGCCTTCATCAAGCAAACCTTTCCTTTCCATACAATCTTTGAAGTCAAGTCTGTAAAACCCTTTCCTGTTACAAAACTGCAATAATCTTATCTGTATGTGATGGACAAAAAAGAAAGTACCGACTACGTCCTCATAAGTATACATTAGACCCAACAAACAGCAAACTGCTAGCTGTGCTAATGGTCTGCTGGACATTTCATAAACAAATCTCGTCTTTATGGATGAAGAGCTGAGAGAAAACAAACCTATAACTACTAATTCTTTGTGAAATATTAATTTTTTTTTAAATATTTATTGTAAAAGTGTATGATATTAAAATTAAGTTGCTGACACATGATTGAGAAAACATCAAAAGCTTCACTTTACCAAGGAGAGTGATATATATAAAATTGAACTATAGTGTATGAAGCATCTATATTTGTTAACCAAAGGAAGCACCTTGATCATTAATCAGCAGACTGAGTCAGTAAGGTGAACTGTCACCTGCAATTTATAATTACAGCTCTTTTATTTACTTTGGTGCTTTTGCTAATATATACACAAATAAAGGGACTCCCACTCCACCCGTAATCATCTACCACACAACCACCAACAAGGAACAGAGTTGTCTGTGTCACAGTCTTTATTGACTGCGAAGAGAGAGGCGCTTTGCTGTGCTGAAGGCCAGTAGCCAATGGCCTGTTAGTCAGAGCAGTGAAGCAGAGAGTCAGAACAAGAACAAAGGCTGCCTAGGTATTGATGTAGCCTGACCTCCTGGGGACTAGGGGCCAGGGGCCAGACAGGCTGATCTCCAGGGAAAGATAAGGGGCTAACAATCTGATAGATCTGGAAAGCTGGCCGCACGGTGGACACAGGATCTTGTCTCGAACGCTTACTCTGTTCTAATTTTTGTGGATGACTTTTTTGTCTTTCTATATTTTTTTCTCCCGCCTTTGTAGTCCACCCTGAATTTTTTTGTAGCCAGACACTTCACTCACTATGCTTCTTCTTCTAACTTCTCCACCTGTCTTTCTTCTCGCTTTCCTTTTCTGAGTACTGCTCTGGCAGATAGGTGCTGGCATACTGACAGAGTGGGATAGCTTAGTCATTATGTATCATTCAGTGCGCAATTGACTGACAGTTCCTTCATTCATCCAGCGCTACACTTACTGCATCCTTTCTCTGCCTCCCTTTGATTACTGACCCAGTCATGGCGCCACGGTTTCTCTTTACCAAATGCCTGATGCTCCAGAGCCTTCACTCTGGCCCCTCTCTCGAAGCAATTAGATCTATTGACGAGGCAACTGTGGCTGGCCTGTCATGGGCCTCAAAGTCCCAAGAGAACTGCCAAACCAGCCAGTCAGTCAGTCTCCACAATTAGCACATTATATGACAGGTAGGGAGGGGAGGGCGTGGCCAAAAAGCATAGCCTCAATTTCTGTCACCAGGCTCAAAGGAGCCAGCCAGAAAATCTAGGTGGTAAATTATTCACCGGTTTGTTTGCACCAGAGCAGCTTTGCGGTGAGGGAGGAAGGTGTTGGAAAACATTTTGTGCGCAGCTAGATAAATATCAGTCTCCCGCTAACGCCACAAAAAAATACAAAAAACTGGATGTAGTTAATGAGACTGCAAACACTTCGCATTCATTCCTTCAGTTATTCTGTTACCCCTCTCCGACACCTTAGACCAAAAGCAAAGGAAAAAGGGCCTATTCACACACTCACCCAAATGAGCACTTTTTGGGAAACAGAGATTCTATGTTTCCACTTCGCTGCGAGAGGATTCCCCAAACACCAACAACAAGTCTGCTTTTATTAAGCCAGATCGTGCTACAGAATCTCATCTGTTGTGAGTATACTGTGCCTCTCTCTCTGCCTTATCTCTGTGAGCAGTGCTGTGCGTTGTTATATCTTCTACTTGGCTGAGTGCTGCCAGTAGCTGCTATAGATGGACAGGTAGAGATAGTGACCATGAAGTGGCGCCACCGCTGCCTTTTATCATCCCGTCCTGGAGGCTCCGGTCTGGCCTGACCCTGGCCCTTCCTCTCCCCTTTCTATTCCTTTCCCTGTATATTGCATTTTTAATCAGGCTGGGTCATCCAATACAGAGCCACGAGACTGGAGACCATGGCCTGTCAGTCAAGTGCTGCCACCTTTTTTCCTTGCACCACCTTTCTAGAAACATGGTCTGTCTGTAGGACAATTAGCTATAAGGGACATTTATGGAGACGTCTTGCCCTCCCTTTCTTTAGATCTTTTACTGCCCCCGTTTCTCAGTCAGCTATTTTCTCCCTCGTGATGCATGTTATCAGCAATGTAAAGTACACCTATATAACACAAGAGCCATGTGCGTTTTCAGTTTCCTATGTCTCGATATTTATGCTCAGCAAGAGGCTGGACCGGCAGCTTACGGCCGTGCTGCAATTCATCCCGAGGTCAAATCGAGCCCTTCTCCTGGATCACTTCTTTGCCGTGCTGCCAAGCCCTGGAGGAAACGGCAAAGGAGACGGGCTGGCAAAAGGAGCGCATGCTGAGAAATAGGACGTTGAGAGTCGCTGCCCGGGTGCAAAGCGCAGAAATGGAAGATGGCACTCCGAGAGCAGCTCAGTCGGTGGTGGTGGTGTATACGACGCTAACCAGAGGGAACATGGCAAGAGCACAAGACGTGGGCAGAGTGCTGAACAATTATGTTTATAGTGTCTTGACCTCGCATGACTTCACACTTGGTTGGTTATAGGAATAAAGAGCCACAACCGTGTTATCTGGCTATTGTTAATTGGATGTAAATGTTAATGCAATGAATCTCTCTCATTATGCAGCCAGTTCCGCTGCCCATGCTGGCAGAGAGTGGTGGAATAAACTGACGCCCGAGCCCATCACTCCGACGCGCTCTCATTGCTCTGACACTAGGAGAGACCATTAGCACTAATTTGAGAAAATATCCTACCAGTTAGACCTGAAGCACTGCAGAAGCCAACAGAGACGAGCAGAGAGATTAGGGTAAACATAGCTACCACTTGCCCCCGAGCACCCGCAAGAGCTAATCATAGATTTTGTATGTTTATAATTATGGAGTGAGCTCAAAACGCCAGCCTGTTCCACGGGGGTGGATTGATTCCGTGTGTGGCCATCCATGTGCACTCTGCGCTTTTGCAAAATGGCCTTTCAGATGGCACCCTAAAGTGCTCACCGCTCTGCACTTGTTATTGAATTAGAGGGAGTTTAGGGTGTCAGCTAATTGGTCTGCGCGCGGCATCTTATAGCATTGCGTTGGCATGTCCTCAAGCACACGTGTAGTGTGGCTGCCTAAGGACAAATTCAAGGTTCCTCACAGAAGAGAAAAACTACAAGGATTTGCGACAGTGCTCAGAGGACATGAAATGGTGGAAATGGCAGAGAGCTCTTTCCCTCCGGTATCTGAATAATAAAATATTATGGGTGATGACCAGAAAGATCCTTTCTCGGCATGTGGTTCCAATAAGGGGCTGATGGTCTGCTTTCAACATAGTCAACATGAAAAACCACTGGGGAACTGTTAGTTTCTTCATATTTATATATGTGTGTGAGCACGATATGTGTGCGCATGTGTATGTGGATTCATATTTGCAAAAAACTGTCTGTCTGACAGTTAGGGTTAAGGCTGAGGGTTAGGATCTCTCAAATCATTTTGATTGCTCAATTTGAATAATAATAAAAACTAGAGACGTACTGATAGCCAGGGAGTAATCAGCTATTATCCAGCATTCTTGGTCCTTACCAGTGAGTGGCTGGTCAGCCTGACGTGTGTCAGATTATGAGCTCTTCAAACAAAGCTCATCAAAGTGAAGTGTTGGGGAAGCACCACGACACATGTTCATAACAACAAACCTGATGAGACACTCCACCCGGGTGAACACTGACATTTTAAAGAAGCTAAAAGTGACTAAAGCTGCAGTTATCCAGGACTCAGGGCCAACATGAAGGATCGAAGCAGTTCAGAGGAAAATGATGGAGAAAGGGCTCAATGTCCTGATATCTCACGACGGTATAACTGTACTGGAAAATTATTTTATTGCCTGATTTTTGTCATTTATATAAATCTGTTACTTTGTTTGGTAAGGCAGAATATGATAAAGGTGAGCGTACAGCAACTCATTTTAGGTATTTATTAGTGACGCTTTCAAGGAACCAGAGTTTTAAAAATATTTTATTATGAAAAGAACATTTTTCACTAAAGAAAAGTTGGTTTTTGCTTGTAATGTTGATCAGACTTAGAAAAATATATCAGAAATCAACATAATTGCGAGCAGTACAACACTGATGAAAACTTCTGCATTTTCAGTGACTGCATGTGATATTTGTGTACCAATGTATGCTACTTTCTGTTGCACTCTCTTTGTGGTATCCCCAACAATTCAACTATACTTTACTTTTATTCTGAAAGGGCCACAAGGAAATGTAGAAGCACATTTAGATGATCGTTTTACTCAGTGCTCTTAGCCCTGTGATACCAGTCTCTTATTTACCATGCTAACCTTACATTTAGAGCATGTGTTGGTACAACACCTTGACCTTTTTTACTTTCTGAAAATGCAGACTTCCATTCTATTTGAACACAACTTTATACTGTAAATACACTACAGTGTGTAAACTCAAGGAAAAGTACTTGTTTAATACTTACCAGCCAGGAGATATTGATAGTACTGCACTAGATCTGAGGCCAACACCAAAGGATGATTGGAGTTGAAAGGTGGCTGCAGCTCATTCCACTGTGGAGTCCTGCTCAAAAAGGACAAATCATCCATAAGACTTAGAGACACAGAGAAGCCGTGTCCTGCATCGAGTCTTCATCACAGCTTTACCTGGCTAGAATCCAGCAGGCCCTTGGACAGGTGTTGAGTTCTAACGGTGTATCGTCGCTTATCTTTTGTGACGTGCTTAATGGCCGAGGTTCCAAGACGTGCTCCACCAAGTTACCATAGCAACTGACTACGTACAGCGAGTCCACAACCGACTGCCTGGACTGATCTGTGAGGAGGATGAGCAACAAGGCGAGGACAAGTTATTTGCAGTAAGTGCAATAATAGTTATCAACTGTAGAAGAATGCAAAGACAACCTGTCACCACAGTCTACCTTTCTCTCTTTTTATGTTGGGATTAGTGATGAACCAGGAGCGAGGTGACGCGAAGATGGCCGCCACGCAGAACTCTCCTCCGCTGGACTTGCTCGGTGAGATCTGGGGGGGTGGCTTAGATTTGCTTCAGGAGACGGAAAAGAAATTGAGACAAAGTAAATAATATGGTACAATGCAGGGGTCCAAAAAGTGAACCCGGTAGTGCTTCTATAGTTTAACATGTCAAGTCCTTTTGACTGGCTGGTATTGGCACAATGAGACAACTGCTTACTCTGATTTGTCAGTTATTAATTTGTGAATTCCAATAAATCCTTACCCCTCTTTAGTAAATACATCGACTACACATCACTTTCCATTGCTAGAAATGTCGCTGTGTGGAGGAGTAGCACACTTTTTGTCTTGTGCTGCATTAAGGTCAACAGTGCAATAATATGTCTCAGTGTGGTGCTTATTGAAGCTATGTATCACCTTTAAGACCAATCTTTGTATGAATTATTTTTCCATAAAGCATAACAATCAAATGTAAATGTCAGCATTTTACATTAGACATGGATTGCACAGCAACATCTGTGAACAATTAACACAATATTGTAAAGAGCTTTGCATGCAAAGAACTAAGCAAGGGGAAACTGAAACACCTGCAAATAAAAACATCCACTGTTGCAGCAGAAAATGGGAAAATTAAGCTAGACATAAACATTGATGTAATGTGATATAAAACTGAGCCACCATCTAAGTGAATCTTCTTGTCTGAGAAGGACGGTAAGTAGTAGTACTACAAAGTACTAATAGTAATACTAGAAGTTATTCTTAGGATACATTTAGACCTTATATGGCTAAATGCAATCTTCTCCATTCACAACATTGACATGATTGGTATACTGCCTGTACACTTGCCTTATCTTAATACAAAACCACCTCTTTTTTCTCTTTAAACAACCACAGGACCGGGGCAATTTGTACTCATTCATTCGACCACAAACTCATTTGTATACCAAGCGTGCATGTATCAGCATATATCGAGTATTCTTGAGAAAAAACGTAAGGCCATCTGTCCGATATCTAAAGCTCGGCCTAAATAGAGTCAAACACAGTGATCCAAGCACACCGTCTAGTCTACAACAGGATGGCTGAAAAAGAGAAGAATCAAGGATGCTAAAATGCAAAGTCCAAACCTCAACCCAACCGAAATGCTGTGGTGGGACCTTAAGAGAGCTATGCATAAACAAATACCTGCAAACCTCAATGAACTGAAACAACATTGGAAAGGATGGGCCAAAATACCTCAGCTACGATGTGAGAAACGGGTACAGTCATGGAGAAAACAAGTACTCCAAGGTAATGTTGCTAAAGGGGGTTACATACACTGGATGGTGGACTCTAGTTGTTCTTTTACAGGACAATACAGATCCCAGCAAAAACCTTTTTCAGGGGTTTGTCACCAATTTTACTTTAAGTTTGGTAAGAATCAAAAAACGTTGATACTTCTAGTATACTTACAAAGACAATTTCTAGCCTGCTCTTCCATCTGGTTGGTTCCAATAGTCCCATTAATATACCACATTTATATTTAAATTAATAAATACAACTGCTATCACTGAATGGAATTTGAACCTAACAGCAGTGTCCACATTGCCTTCCCTGGCTCTCTTACTTTGTGTCGGCTACAGGAGAGAATATATTGGGAGTTATTGGATTATTCAGCATGTCAAGAGTGTTTGAGAAGAAGCGGACACAGAAAGGGTTTTCAGCCGCAATTGGACTCCCCATATGGCAACAATCAGAGAACAGTAGCAAGATCTGGTATTATTGTCCAGCCTCATAAGCAACCTGGACAGTAAAATGTGGTCACAGCGGATCAGACGTGAGGTGCGCTTGAAAACCTACAGCGGTGTCACGCGCTCCCAGACGAGTGCTTAACCTTGACCTTTGGAAACCACGCTGGCATGAAAGTGACACTCTTACTTCTATCTACTCTCAATTTTGGAGAAAAGATGCAAATATGTGGGCGCAGAATGGTCATTTTAAAATGTATGTGGCCAGTTTGATTCAACTTACATTCAACTCATGGAAGCATTTTTGTGCAGGTGCTTTTTATTTTTTTGCTTTATGTGGAACAAATATAAAAAGGAATGGATAGTTAGCATAAGCAAAAACAGACCTTATGGATGATTTTAAAAAAGATAGACATTTCCAAGTACAAAATTTGATTAACAACAGGGAAACCTAATGCCACTGATGCAAAGCACCTGATTGAGACCAGGCCTTTCAAGATGTGTCCAGCCAGAGTGTGACATCTAAGAGCAAGCAGGAGTCTCTGCAAGGCTGACAACGGTGCCCCCTGCAGGTAATGAGTATTTAAAATCCACTTTTGTTTTTAAAATTGCATGATTGTGTAGCATGCTTGCTAGGTTCGAGTCGCCATTAGCTTTTAACAACTCAAATGTGTGAGGTAAGGGCAAAAAGCAAACTGGCTAGGTTCCATTTCTAATGCTGAATGTTTGTATGCTTTTGCACACAATCTTTGCCATCTCAATATTGATTTTTGTTAATAAGTTCGTTTCTGACTCATTGTGGCGTGGGTGTGGTCTCTGACGCAGTGAGCTCCCGGGGCGGCGCAGGGGCGGGGTGAACAGGTGTGCTGGGATCTGAAGGTGATTGTGACTCTTTATATGTTGACAGTGACAGTCGGAGGGGAAGAAGAGCGGACGTGACAGCAGAGAGCGGGAGTGTCTCTGTCCCAGTGCAAAACGAAAACCACAGTTATAAATAAAAGTTCTGCTGTCATCACACTCGTGTCCAGCGTGTGCATAACGGGTCAAACTCATTTAAAGAAACTAACCTCAACCTAATGTCTACATAATAGTTTTAAAAGATTAATACATATTTATTAAAGAATAGAACAAAAGGCAACAGGGGATATAACGATAACAAATAATGTCTTAATTTTGCACTTTTAAATCGTTCATTTAAACGGAATGAAAACTCAAAATTCCAAACACAAGAAAATAAATACTGCAGGTTAAAGAGTTTCCCTGAATATGGAGGCCCAACCACACACTGTAAAACCTAATGTATGTCAGAAAGACTTAAACAAGTGTAGCGTTACCAACAGCTTACAAAGAATGTAACACATGGAGGATCCAGTGGGAATTTGCCCCTCACGTCCTGTGTGTAACATGTAACACTCTATCACTGACCAAATCCCTCCTCTTGTTTCAAACTTGCCTAATACCACAAAAACTTAATGAAAAATACAATGCAATGCAGTGAAGACAGTTCACCACAATAATGCTTCCAGTACTAGACAGTGCGTCCACTACTTCAACCGGGTTTCACAGTACTAGCTGTTGAAAGACCTGCTGCTGGTAAAACTCTCTTTCTGTTGCCTCCCCCCTGTCAGCACCTCATAAATTATTCCCTGGATCGAGGGAGATGTCTTTGTTTGGTCAGCCCTGTGTGAAAGAGGGATCAGGAAAAAGGAAATGGTGAAGGTAATCATAAGGACGGCCTCTACAGTGTTGTAGCTTGAATTTACAAGCGCTGGGTCAAAGAGAGAAGGCTGAATAACCAAATATCCACAGTAAACCCGGTCTGTGAAAGGAAGATGCAGGGGTAGATAAAGTCACACTCAGGATATTGCCTTGGCTAACTCCAAGTGGGCCTCGTCTTCTCCTCCCAGCTCTGGCCTGCTTGACCGTCAGTTCAACCAGAAGGTAAAACTGTTAACAAGCAGGTCCAGCGAGTGAATAACCAGCTATAAGGAAGTGCTCAACATCAGTTTTTGTTTGTGTTACATGGGACAGGAAAAGGGGAATTTAGTAGGATTTTTCCACAAGTAAAAATTCTTCCTTGGTAACGAAACGAAAGCCCTGTAACTCGGGAAAAACAAATCCTCGTCACGAGCAGACAGGTGCCTGATCTAAACTCATCAGTCTTCGTATTGACTTTTGGTGTCAGTGGTTAAAATTCTAAGCTGTTATTACTACTACTATAATCAGATGGACTTTCTTTAAGAGAACTAAGTAGAAGGACTTTTACACTGCCGAGTAGAGAACACTGTCCATTTCTGAAGGACTGACCTCGTGGCAACCCCACACACCAATCTGCAGGGCGCCGCGCGACTCGTCGATAGCACGTTAAAACTTCGGCTCGACGTTGCAGTCATAGCAGATGAGCTGAGTTTAGGCCTCTTTGAAGAGACCACAGCTAGCACAGAGCCTGCCAACAGGACCAAAGATCACAGTTCAGTTCTCGTCTCTTCTGCTACAGTGACCACTAAAGTTTATTCATCTGTGTTTTAAATCATCCTTTTTCCTCTTCATCTCACTTGAAGTGGCTTAAAAGTGTTGAGGTTTTTGCCCTCGTGACAACCAGGCACGGCTCCAGGGCCTAATTCCACTTCCCATATGGATACCAATTTCTGGAGCAGACTTTTGGTAAGGAAGCAGGCAAGCAAATGGCACCGAGTTAGAAAAAGCGTAACCCAATATCAATAACTTATGAAACATAAATATACTAAGAGGGAACTGGGAGCAGGAGAAGATGTATGTCATTAAACAAACGGCAAAACTCTTTTCTTTTTCTTCTCTCTCCGCAAAATTTCCTTTTGCCTTTTAGCAGGGAGTGGAATTCATTTTCTTTGTGACTTTAATTCACTGAAAAGACTACTCACATGTCATTTCCACTTTTAATTTAGCAAATGAGGACTCTTGACTGAGCTAATAGCTTTTCCTCAAGGGCATAATTCAATCTGAGACATCAACCATCAAAGTCCTTTTGCATTACTATGTCCGGCGCTAACATGAGGCGCCTCAGCGGGGGGGTGGGGGGGTAGTCCACAGCAGCTTCCATTTATTTTCAGGACCTTTGCAGTAAACAAACATGATGGAGCTGGCCATCCGGCGACAAAGAGCTGCAGTGCTGTCATTTCACTGATTCTGGGCCATATGGTTCATTCTTATCAGAAAAGGAGGTGGTATTAAGACTCCAAGCAGGAAGGAAAAGAAAGACGGAGAGAGGGAAGGAGAGAGGGCAGTTATGTGGAGGGTACATCCTTCAACGTCACATTTATTATTTTACAACAGCCCTCGGAAAGAAGCAGCCTTGAGGCTCTGTCGAATACACAGCACTAATGACAATCACTGGGGAACTCGGTGAACGGAGCAGAGTGGGCATCAAATGTTCAAGGAAAAAATCAGGGTTTCTTTTTTACCAATTTCTAAACCTTAAAGTTCATGTAGTGCCACGTTAGTCATGGAAATTTGTTAAACAGCCATAATGTTGGTATAAACTAATGTATCTGGCCACAGTGTTATTTCAGACGCAAGCTTAAGAATGAATTGGAAATCCAAGGAGCATTCAAGTTCACCATTTGCTCAAAAAGAAAAGACGGCTCTGTTTGTAAAATATCTTAATACGATACAATAGTGAATGGACTGCCATGGCGCATGTCTAAAGGCAGAAGCTATTAGAGAAACAATGTCGGTTTAACTAGCTCAAAATTGAGCAGATGGCATTTATTGCAAGGGTCAAGATTCCAATGCTAATGATGTATACCTTTGAAAAGTATACGCTCTGAAGTCACTAAGGGCCTAGATTGAGCACGAGTGGCTGAAGACAGACGGAAAAAAGTTTCAATTAAAAAGTATGAGTGACTGCCCACAACAAAAGATGAAACCCAACACTTGAGGAAGGCACCATACGCTATTCACACGAGGAGCTGGAGACCTGGGAATCAGGAAAGGAAAAGTTCCTTTCACCGAGCCACTCAATCATCTCTCTGTAAGCGACTGTCATAAAAGGGCTTCTTTTAAAAGCTTGTAAGCATCTGATTTCATGAGAGAGCGCTGACAAGAGACGTGGCTACATCCCCCTGCATGACAAAAATCTTTGAATCGGAGGATGCTTTGTGCATTTTAGTGCTAAAATTGAACTCAAAATTCAGGTTTGACAGTTAAACATTTCCTGAATCTTAACCTGAATATCAAATGAAACTGGCCTTTTTGTTCCACCTCACTGCTTTTTATTATTTGCCCCAATAACTGACTAGTGATGGATTCATCTGTCTTACCTACAGCATTTTTAGTCGCAACATAACCGGTGATTTCAAGGTCAAGGGATGCGCAGTATTTAATGTTATTAGATCTGTATGTCACTTTGAAACCACACGGGAGTCCACATCTATCTTAGAAATTCTTCTCACAATCTGAGGGGCTTTGCATGTTTCCATCTTTGGTGAAGTAAGCTGTCATCCCATTTTAAATTGTGTCTCCAAAACTTGGCTTGGGGTGGCTATTTTTCTGAAAACATCCATGAATGACCACAGAACCAGACTTATTCAAATCACAAGAAAAAAAGAGAAAGGTGGTGGACAGTTTAACGGTATGAAATAGGCTAGCTTATTTCTCTAAGATTAGCAGGTAATTTAATAATGAATTGAATGAGCATAAGTACTCAATAAAAGTAATGATGTTGAGCTTATGTTCCATTGTTTAAACCAGAATTACTGATTACGCAATAACTCCAGAGTCACTAAATCTGTTACTTTAGCAAACAGTTGGCTAACAACAAAAGAGGACATGGAATGTTTTAACATTCATTTTCAGCTGCCAGGAAACAAAATCATCAAATCTGACCATCGGCCCCCAAAAATGTAGCGCTTTCGCTGCTAACTGTTCCACTGTGTTTGGCTGTGTGGCTGCTTTTATTTCATGTGGAGTCAAAAGGCGGCCTACTGTGGCTGGAACAGTAAAAGTAAAGTTATGAGATGTGCTAAAATACACTGGAAACAAAAAAAACTCGGTTTAAAAATTTAAAACAAACTTCATTTCCAGTGCTAGCTACCATTAAATAATTGTGGTTCATCCGCTCTCTGGAGAATATTTTGTAGGAGCGGTACACATCACATTTCCATAACCAGACAGGACACTGTTCACAATATCAGAATGTGGCACATTTCCTGCATGCAAACACACATCTGATTGAAAAAATCTAGCCAAAGTGGGATAAAATAAAATCTGAACAACATGTGTTCGACACAAAGACATTATTGGAAAAAGATCATCTAACGTAAGAGAATGAAAAAGACAATAAGACGGCGATGTCATTTTCTGGTGGGTGGTTTAAAGAAAAAAGACAACAACCAGATCAGAAGTTTGATGGAAGAGCGCTGAACCCCTACAGCATGTACTCTGAACTCCCAAGCAAAACCTAAAGTATGAAGTTTGGGCTTTGAGCATTACTTCACATGTAACACCATACCTAGCACCTCACTGCTGCTTTGCATATTTATGTATACTGCACAATGTGAAAGAAAAAATCCCTTTTCCCTTAAAGCGCTGCGGTGGCTTTAACACAACATGCTGAATCATCGGACTTTAAATATAACGTTAAACAAAACAAAACCAAAAAAAGGGAAGAATAAGGGTAATCAAAAACACACACACAGACACAAAAAGATGAGAAAATAAGAAACACTCCTCTTTGGGATTCATACCCGCCGAGGAACGACCACACCAACTCTACAAAATGTGTTGAAAATATACCAGGAGACAAATGAGAGGTAAAGGAGGCAGTGTGCTGTGGTGCTTTATACAGTCGCATGCTGCCAAGGGAGCCGAAGAGGGGAGAAGCAAAACTCACCATGGAGTTTTAATGGCAAAACATCCCGCCCCAAAGAGGTAGGGTCTTCATGAGAGGGGGGAGGGAAAGGGGGTGTTGGGGGGTGTTGAAGGGTACAGAAATAGACGGAAAAACAATTATTAAAACTAGCACACTTGAGCAAACACACTTTTCACATTATATACTTTTTGACATGTCTGTTTAAGTGCACAACACATACGAGGCAGGAAACAGAATGTCTGTGTGCTAAGATGGATTTGAAGACCTACGGGATACGTCGATGATTCATCTGCTCGAGCTGCTCCGTAAAGCGTGATACCATATATTTGGCACATGCATCACGTCCGCAGACGGACGTTTTGGGTTGTTTTTTTCTTCTTTCGACATCTGTCATATTTTTTTCTCTCTTAACTTTAAAGGGATCGGGTACATGTGCGCAAACTTGTACCCAACCGTGTAAACGCAACGCGGGAAAAAAATACTTTGGGAAACTGCTCTGATTGTTGTGATTGGGAAAGAGTATGAAGAGTTTATCCAATTTGTATAACAACTGGGGACACCAGTAAAACTAACAGCACTCAGGCACTGTTGAGACAAGGAGTTGTGTGTTTGCATGCAACTTCTTTTTTTAGTGCAAGTGTGTATTTATGGCTGTGAACTGTCTTATGAATGTGCATGCCTGGTTGGAAGAGACGGTGTTGACAAATGTGTATTCACTGTGATTATGTTAACAAGTATGCAGTGTGTTTGTGCGTGTGTGTGTGCATCCAAGAGTCATCTAGAGTGTAGTGTCTTTTTCAGGGTGTATTTCTGTCTGTCAGTCTGTGCGTGTTTCTAATGTTTACGAGACATTAGGAGTGGGAGTGTGTTCCTGTGTTTATTCTGCATGTCCAGAGATAGTGACCGAGCTCCATAAACAGTTTACAGTAAATAAGCTGTTTCCCTATAGCAATAAAGGTCCGATGAGACTGAACTCTGTCCCTGCACACCAACCTCCCCCGGCCATGAAAAACAGGATCTCCAACCAACGAAAGCACTCCGTAGTACTTCTTTATTTTATCGCTTTCGCCGCATCCTCCCGGGCCCTCCCAGTGATAGCTCGCAGTCTCCAATTAGTCTTGGTACATGAATGTGTAGCGTGTTCCGCCGGGAGAAAGGGAGCAACAATTTGCCCTGGAATGTCTTACTCCTGGAGTGCGAGTTGACAAATGAACACACTGGTTGGTGTAATGGAGGCCCCTGGTAAACTGCCGCTTATCAAAGAGCTGCACGGAGGGGGGGGGGGTGATCTCTAACGTCTTACCCTCCGCTGAGTCTGTTGAACTTTCTGAGCCCAAACTCTGGCCTCCAACTGGTAAATGGATGGACACCAATTGTAGAAAGAAGGGCAGATGGGGTCAGCTCTCCATAGGCATAGCTAAGGCCAAGTAAGCTTTAGGATTTACAATGTGCCACTTTGTCCCTACAGTCTTCCTGGAACATGCTGGTGCAATTTATATACTCGATGGAAATTAATAGCAGCAGAGTTGATGCAAAGAAAGCTGCAAGAAGGCTACAGAAAGCAGATCAGGTGGAACCGGTTAAAGTTCTTCTGTCATGAGTAACTGGTATTCATAGTAATTAAACATTCAAACAAGATATGTCCTCAATGTCTCTATATCCACAGCTCAGCAGGGAACCACAGTTCATACAGGCAAACACAGAAAACTTTTCAAGAACACAGACTTGAACTTTTAAAGAAATGAACTACAGTGTCACCAGACTTACACAAAGAGCTATTTTCCCAAACGTGTGCATCAGCGTTGTTTTACACCAGACTTTAAAAATCCCAAACCTATCCTTTGGTGTTACAAATCAAATTGCACACTCCTCGGAATACAACAAAAGCATGAGGTCACGCTGGGAGAACTGTCAACCGTGCTGAGCTGGCAGTAAACAGTTTTGACCTCAGTATAGACAAAGAGCACCCGATTACAGTATGTGATGCAAAGCACGACGGAGCGGGTGTGGTGAGCAGAGAAAGAGTCCCTTATAGGTCACAGGCGTGATGAGAAACAAGTCAAACATGGGTCATTGCTACAGAGAGAAGTCAGAGAAAGAGGGGGGGTGGGATCGACCTGTGAGGGTGACGACCCCACTCCCGGAGAATAATCGTTCACACATTCATCTCTTAACCCGTTGGCCCTAATAGCAGCTCCGCCTGGGCCATTAAAAAGAGAGGGAAGTGAGGTGATTTGTGCAAATGGTTTAGCCTTGCCGCCATGTGGTGCGTTCTTAAAGCCCCTTTTCTAGCTCCGGTCTCAGTGAGCCTCTGCGGCTCTGGTATCGGGATGGCTCACACACGCATTACAGTAATCTGCGGGCACATCTGCAGCGGGTCACAGGGTCTCATTTGTTCTTTTGCTGTTGTCTTTCTTTTTCGTTACCCTGCCTGCACTCTATTCGCCTGAAAATGTCATCAGCGGGATTTGCTCAAAGGGTGGTATTTTGTTTTGCGTGTGACAATCTTTCCATTTGGATTTTCATTTGTCCGTGTTAAAGTCAGACAGTGTGTAGATGGGATAAGTGTGCAATTCTTCATCCGTTTGCAAATCCCTAATGTGACCGCGACAGGCATTTTGACAAGTTAAATCAATCTGCACAAGTACAGCTGACTGCAAATATTTCTGTCTTAATCCTGTTCAAAGATGAAGTTGTGACAGGAAAGAGTCTTTGGATTTTGTGATCACCGTCTTTGGGATTTAATTCAACTGGGTCTAACACGCTTCCATATTAGGCTGACAGGAAACAAGAGGTTGGGGCAGAGGTGACACACCTCTCTTTGTTCGGTATTCCCAAGAGACTCTGAGGAGTAGCAGAAGGTTGGCTATGTTCCTCCACTCTCTGCCCTGGCCTCATCTGGAGGGAGGTTATCAGGCAGATGCCTAGCCACATCCGACTCTCCCTATTTTGACGGAGTTGGGGGAGCATCTAAATTAAGAGAGGCGAGGGCTCTGTGTGAATTCGAGGTTTTCTTTGATGTCAAAAACCTGAGGCTTCTGAAGACAAACAGCAGCACAATTTTGCACACCGGTGGTCTGCAGGAGTGCAGCACGTACAAAGGTATCTATGCAGTGAGCCAGGTCACAGAAAAGGGGAGAGAAAGCTTCATTAGTGTGTGTGTGTGTGTGTGTGTGTGTGCACTTGTGTCTTATTGCAGGGTGCACACAAAGGCAGCTTGGTAGGGAATATAGGTTAAGCAGCTGGTGTGTTCCTTTGCCACACTGCCAACAGAGATCTGCTCATACAGGTGTAAATACAGCTGCTGGACTCTCCTCTCTCCCTCTCTCCCTGTCACATACACACACACTTACATGCACAAACACCCACACTTAACAAAGAGAGAGGGGCTGGCTGCACAGACAGATGGTGCCTGGGCACTACTGTGCAAGTATAGCGTAAAAGCATATGATATCACTCCCCACTCTAGGGGGTCAAACCTGCTGCCTCACTCAGTGTGTGTGTGTGTTGGTGTGGGGTGCAAGCCGTGCGCATGCAGGAGCAGGGAGCACATCTGTGCGCCCTGATACATTAATACTGACACCTCCTCTGGACTTGAATGGATGGATGAAGGCGCGCCGAGGCAGTCTACCAGACTGTGATAGTGTCCTCAGAGCCGATACAGCTGTTGGAATGTTGCACAGCCGTGGACAGCACGTGCAAACATTTGCACAGTTTTACACAAACACAATAAGGATATGAGCACCTATATCCTCTGTAGTTAGTAATGACACTAAAGCGTGCACGCTGCTGTATGAGCCGTTTCGTCCGTTATCTGTACATTAGCAGCTGTATTAACCCTGCTAGCTCCAAAGTGAGCGAGCAGAAATATTTCAATATGCAGCTGGAACAGAAGATTATAAACACTTAAGCTGAAGAAGGGTTATTAACACTAGCTGTCACGGACAACCACAACATAAACTAACCTGAATGAGTTTGATTCATGAAACTATTAACTTGGTTACATTATGTTTTCTAAAAATTGAGAGGTGAACTTTAATCTGAAGGAGAATATGGCCGATATACACACAAACACAATACCTGTGTTTAAAATGAAATATTCTTATTGTGGTAATAATGAAAACAAGGAAAATAAATATATAATTTGATGTTTTTTACAAACTTGCCACCAGTGTTGGTCAAGTTACTTGAAAATAGTAATTAGTTACTAATTACTGATTAGTTCTCCAAGAAAGTAATCCCATTACCTTACTGATTACTCATTTTCAAAAGTAATTAGTTACTTTATTAATTTTTAAAAACATGATACACAACCCGAGTACGTAATAAAGCAACAGACCTTTCAGCCCAATTCTTTTTCTTCTGCATAATCAATCATATGAAACTGACTCAAATGAAAAAGTCTCTTTTTAAAACTTTTTAATGAGTTTTAATCTTTTAACTTGTACATTAAGCAGGAGTGGGACGGGTGGAGGTTTGCCCACAGCAGTCATGTCAGTGGGGGGTCCGGGGGTTTCTCTGTGACTGTCACGTTCCCGTGGCAGCGTGCTCGCTGCTTGCTCAGATTTGAAGTTTAATTTTTCGCTGTAGAAAGAGGTTTTCTTCCCACGCAGAGCGTACAGTAATGTGATTACTTCCACGCTTTAAACGCTGCACGGTCGTACTCTCTCCATCACTCCATGTTATCCATTGTTGATCTGCGCACGTCTGTCGCTGCCATGGACGCCGCACGCTCGCACGTCATTGTCATGAGACGCTCACAAACAAAATCACAGTTTAGTAGCGCAGCGTGCTTACTGGATTTTTGCAATAGTAACCCCTTACTTTACTCTTTAATTGAAAAAAGGTAATCAGATTACTTGTGTAACTGCCTGTCTCTGCTTGCCACCTCCAGTTTAGGGGAATCCTGGCGGTAAGGTGTGACACTGAAATCATTAGACATTTCACAGGAACACAGACGAATGAATGTTTTGTCACCACCTGTCTCCTGAACCTTTTACACACCTTTGAAGATTTGAGTATTTCAATAAACCTTGCAAAATACAGGTTTTTTTGGCCTTTTAGTCTTTATTGGATAGGAACAGTGAAGACAGACAGGAGAGTGGGGAGGGAGAGGCGTGCAGCAAAGGGCCGCGGGTCGGACTCGACCTGCTGGGCGCCTGTGCTCACCCATGGAGCTAAACCAGCGCCCACAATTTACATCTTTAAAAAAGAAAAATGTATTCACCTGAACAGACTTTGATGTTTTGCAATTCTCAGTAATTTAGTGAGAGTTTTTTGTGCTAAAGATTGAAGTTTTACACTGAATAAACGAACAAACACAATAATGGTCAAGAAGATTACGGATTCAACAGACGCCCATCTTTATACAACATTAAATATCACAACTGTAAAACCAGAATGCAAACCACCAGGACAAGGACATCTTCATAATCATTCTGGCACGGGACACCACCGCAGCACATGTGCAATGATCATCTTTACAAAACAAATGAACTTTGCAGGTCTTCTTAATGATTTGGGAAAAAAAGCCTGATGTTGTTTATGTTGACCGCAGGGTCGGGTCCCGATTTTCATCCCCAAAGCTCACTTATCAAATATCACGGGAGAATAAATCCCTTGGCGTCTGTTTGAATCATTATAGCATTTCCCATTCAAACAGGGCATGAAAATTACATTTAAATGAAAATATTAAAATCTTCCCATATTTGTGGAGCCACCTGTACTGTATGTAAATGCACTTAGCAAAGGCCTTTAGTTGTTGATGGTCTTAAAACTACATAATTTCAATGTATGGCAAAGATCCAGATGGAAATAAAAGTCAGAGGTGCATGAGAGCAGATGTGCTTTCACAATTTAAACGCCTTCAAACGTACAAAGCTAGCAAGGCTACACTCTAACATGAGTGTTATTTGAAATCATTGGCAGGATTGAACTTATTTTCTTTTATCAGAGAACGTATTTGTGCCTACCAAAAGAGCCCGCAGACTGAGATCGCATGTGTGTGTTGTGCTTCATTACCCTATGCAAAAAACACGGCGGCCTGAGACAAAAGAAGTCCATGAGCGTCGGCTCGAGATGAGAGAGGAAAGGCGCTGGCCTATGCAGAGCCACTGCTGACACAACACGCTGTTTTTATAAAGTGATTACTGGGAAGAGACAGAAACTCACAGACTGAATGTGAAAATGTAACAACAGTATGATTTAAATTCCTCCTCTATGGCCAAACTGTAAATTCAACACAGGTTGCGAAGCCGCCAATAATCCTCTTACACTCTGCACAGTGTTTCAAAGGCTTTGCTTGCGCACTCTGACGAACACTGGAGCTGGACTAGTTCTCTAATTATTACATACGTGCCATGAAAAAAACGTTTCATCTGAAGGGGAAAGATGGCCATCGTGTACAGATCCACGTGCTAAAAAATTACAGTTTTTAATAAGAAATTTATTGGACTGCTGTTTATGGCAATAAAGAGGATAAAGTAAAGTGACTGGCCAAAGCACTAGTGCACAAAGTTATGTATTCTGTGTAATGAGGTAATAAGATCATTTTATTTTGTAGCTGAACACATGTGCTTCATAAATTACAGTTCCTGTGGAGGAGATGTATTTGTGTGTGTGTGAGAGAGAAAGAGAGATACCAACCCTGTGCGCTTGGTGATGGTGCCCAGGGTCATGGGCTGTTTGATCTGAGCCAAAGGCAGCACCACAGTGAGGCTGGGCAATGGGATGAGCCGCGGGTTCCCCATGTTGTTATTGGTGAAATTGTTGTACGAATCCTGGCTGCTCAGTTTGGCTGGAAAACACACAGGAAAATGCGGGATTACTAAACGTGTTTGCAGCGAACAGACGTGCGTGTTCCCTTAACTGCAAGGCCAACCAAATCTCCTATTCATGGATCTGAAGTGGAACATGAGTCACTGCAGGTAATGGTAGCAGTTGGAATCAACAACTTTACATGCATTATTCATCTTTTCTATGCTCAGCGGTTGCTTTTTCAGTTCAGCACTCTTTACAGATGCTAATTCTCAATATTGCTCACTTGGAATTAAATTTAAAATGTCATGTGACGTTCACATCAAATTGCACACTAGGCCACGAGAAGACATCACCCTTCTCTCTTCAGACTGAACAGTATGATTTTTTTTTTGGACCCACCATCTTCCTCTCCCAGCCCGTAACACACGCAGAAACACACAACTCAGAGTTCAAGGCCTCCTGTGGAATGATTGGAAATAACTAGCTCAAGATGGTACATTACAAAGGCTCTGCTTCTAGTGCCTGGCAGTCTGTTAATCAAGGCCAATCAACAGGCCTAACGCACATGCACACGCAAACACACCCACGCAGACAGACGATCCAGAGAAACACATCTCATCTCACACACACCGTGTAGCTGCAGCCAAACATAATCAGGCCATGTCAAAGGGCTTCTTCAAGGTCTAATGACCTTAACCAGCTACTTCAGGGAGAGCAGCAGCAAGTTCACTGAGTTTCACTTAACATGCAATTAGTCTCATCTTATTAGCAGAGCAATTTTATATATAAGTCAAAAAGCAGGGTTTTTATTGGGTTACTAACATATTTATTGTTCTTCCCCTTTTAACAATTATATTAACTACATCTTCTAAGGTGAAGAACAATGAGTCCCACTCGAGTAAGATGCTTTAGCGATTGTGAAAAGATGGTGAGAAGAGTTTCTAAACATTTAAACCCAAATGTTACATTGTTTCATTTAATCACCAGAAGCAAAACACGAATCTTTTCTTTATTTCCTTTTGGCTTTATTTGCCCACCTTTGACAAACTCACCGGTCAGATTTAAGCCTACCCTGTTATATTTCATACTGTAACGACTGCAACCAAAGTTTACCTGAAAACACTGATAAAATCAAACAAAAGAAATCGAAACTATCTGCATGCCAGTAACACCACCATTCTTTTGAGTGCTGCGAGTAAGGGCACCTATTAATACAATGAGAAAAGACACAATTACAAATAAACAGTTACAAATGAAAAAACAAACTATAGGGGTTTGGAAATGTGCATTACAATACAACTGTGTTTTGTAATCCTATGACAATACTGGAATAAAAATTAAAAAAAGCACCCTCCCGATTCAATAGGCGGCCCAAGGAAAATTCCAAGTTCAAGTGCTTTCAAAAGAAATAAAGAGCAAACCTGTGGGTGCACCACAATACACTCTCTGAATGTTTTCCTTGTTCCATTTGTTGCCTTAATAGATGAGTGACAGTCACGTAACATAAAGGAATGAAAAGGAGGGAGGGGGGACACAGACACAAAGAAAACAAGGCAGACATCAAAGGTTACAATAAAGGTAGAGAAGGAGAGTGCCTTGTCATTATTTGGAAGGAGCGATCAAGAGGAGGCTGAATGCAAGCGGAAAGGGGGCCGCTGAGTGTTTTGGTCCAGTCTTTTAGATCATTAACGTGTAGCTCTGAGTTTCATTAGTGCTGCCAAAGCCCTGCTTTGTGGTCCTCCAAAGGCCTGTCTTTTAGACCTCTGCTGGCCAACAATGCCGCATGACCTTCGCATGGGGAGAGCGGACCATTACGCAAACCTGTCCTTCATTTCCCTCTGCTCCTCTCTTGGTCAAACTGCCTACCCAGGCAACTCCTGAAAGCCATTCACATTTTACAAGTGCTACACACCCCCTGAACCTGGGAAGCACCTTTTGTGTTGAGGAAAGTAGGGCAGATGAGGGAGGACAGAAAAAAAAAAGAATCTGTACAGGAAGCAGCCTGAAAAGCCATAATGGTGCTTCAGCTAAGAGGGGAGTTGAGCGGGAGGCTTGTGCGCGGGGGCGTCAGTGAATTTAGTATCCTCCGTGCACGCATGCCCCTCGATGGATTATTCGTCGTCAGCCGCGACCCTTAAAAATAAGGCGCACACACCGGGTTGTAGAACAGGTGTGGCTAAACTGAGACGGTGGGGTAATGATCGCTGTTGACCCGGCTGTCAACACGGCACTGTCACTCGGGGCTGAGGGGTCCTTAGCTGTCATAAGCCCCCAGACACCGAAGACGAGTTGGTACGGGCCGTGTTAGAGATCACGGACCGACAGAAGATGATATGTGAACTGGTGGGAGGCAGACGGGAAGCCTGTGTGTGTGTGTGGTGTAGACATTCTCACTGAATGGGAATGGTATGCGGGACATTTATCAAGGGAAGGTTTAGGTTCTATTATGTAATATCAGACTTCACGACCAACTCTGTGAACTACAGGAAGTGTGGATGCAATATGGCGTCAGTCATTTTTAGTTTATTTGGCATGACAGAAGCTGGGGTATGCATAAAGTACCAGAGCAAAAGAAAGAATAATTTTAGTTGCTTATATCAGGTTCCTCCAGACACTGAGTGTGGGCATGGGCCTCTGCAGAGGACTGTGTGGTTAAAATTTATATTTAATCTGACAACAATTCAATCACTGATCACTAATAATGATCTGATGCCATTAGTTTAATTTTGCATACACAAAAATCCAAATTATGTAAGCATTTAAAGACTTTTTCATTTCAAGCTCCACAAACTGATGCGAGTGTTACTGCTGCATGTACACAGATTATTGTTACGAACACTGCAACAGCAGCAGGTGGGGAAGGCTGTGAGCTTGGGCACTGTTAAAAGATCTTTGGCAATGCGATCATGTGAAACTTCTCTTCTTTGCTGTTATTTTCATAGCCAGAGTGGTGGAGCAGATGTATGCAAACAACTGATTAAGGGTGTGTCTACATCCAGCTATGGTAAACAGTGGGAGTGGAAATCAGGCCTGTGCACGCGTCTATTTATATCAATTATTTAGAAAACAAAATGTTGTGTGAGCACAGTCATTGTAACTATTTATACATGATTGTAAGATTTTAGACTTTACAGTTTATTAACAATCACAGGTGAGTAAGACAACAGCACCATTTTCTTACTGATACTATCGCCGCAGCAAACCATTACATTTAGTACCTGCTAATGTCACCTGCTCTGCTTTTATCACAATCTTGCTGCATTTTAACTTTAAAGGCTTGCTGCGTGTCCTTACAGCGGGCATCTAAAATCATTTGAAATCATTTACAAGTGCAGAAAGAAAACAAGCGAAACGCAGAGCAAGTCTACTACAAAGAGAAAGACAAGGTAGACAGATGAGAAGCGCCTGGCAGACAGATAGCTCTAGACGGAGGCCATGATTTGATTAATGACTGGGGCGTGATGTACCCAAGCACTGATACATGACATCCCCATGGAAAGAAGATCCATCAATGCAAATCCAGCTCCGTTGCCGTCATCCAGAGAAAAACCTTGACCCTGGCGAAAAGTCATACCAACACCTGACCCTCGCCTTTCTTTCTCCCCTAATCCAACCATCCATCCAGCACTCCTGCATCCATCCTGCCTTGTCTCAACAGCATTTGCATTCTCTTCTCACATTAAGCCTCTCTCTCTATCCTTCGCGCTCTTTCTCTCTCCTCAGCCTCCCCGTGTCACGCTATCTCATGTTTCTCTCCCCTCTTTTAATACCCTATTTGCATCCAATACAAGCAGGTGGCTTGCAACTTGGAGCCGATGTGCGAAAGGACAAGCTCTGAAGACTGTGCGCCCAAGCAAACACTGTGTCTTATTTGAATTGTTCTGCCAGAGAGGATATTTCAGTCGGTGGGAAAAAAAAAAAGCAAACTGCAATGGAGGGGAACTGAGATGGGGAGGCAACAGGTTAGGCAGGTGACATGTTGAGTGATGCTTGGGGAGCTAGGAGAGACCTTGGACTCGAGGATGATATTGCAGCTGTGAGACAGAGGGGCAGAGAAAGAGACGGAGACGTTGTCCCAGTAGGGGAATGCTTTTATGTTTTTTGCTTTTGAAGATATTTTTGGACAGAAGCTGATATTCCTCCTTTGCTTACTTCCCATTTCATGGTCAAAAAGATAAAAAGCCTCTGTCTTAATGCAAATAGCAGTCGTTTCAGCGTGTAATAAAAACTTTGCACGAGCTAAACAGGAGAATAGTTCTAGAGAATGTGTCTCGTCAGGGTGGGGGAAAAAATTTCTGCACTTGGATGATGGATCACTATCAGCCAGTAAAACTCTCATTGGGGATTAACGGCTGGGTGAGGCAGGTTTCATCACAGGATTTCATAAACAAACACACCAACAAGACTATACACGCTCAAACTGGATTTGAGCTTGATCCCACAGAGTGTAAAACTGCCAGCGCTCAAAGTGTTGAGCACAATTCTCTCACAGTGGAATTAATTGTGTGGTTGTCTGCAGACAGAACGACACCCACATACCGTCCAGTTTTTGACATGAACAATCACTTATTGCTCTGATACTCTGAACTCTTTGAAGGTCAAACAACCAATAACCCGATCATCTAGTTTGACTTAACAGCAATACACTTGACATTGTGAATAGCTTTTATTTCTGTCAATAGCACTGTCTCAACTACACCCAGCACTGGGTGTATTTGACTGAAGACTCTGTTTAAATCATTTTCCAGCTTTACTGTTATGAACTGGACAAACTTTGGCACGTTAAACTGTGTGGAGGAACTTTGGTCACACAGGAAGTGGATTTCACAGCCTACGTAAATTAGTTCTGGGTGTCAAACTTTACTTTGGTGCCAGAAACATGTCAATGGTGTAAACATCAAAATAGCCTCGAACGCTTTATATAGCCACAAACATATCAAAAGACGACATTATTTATATATAATCGCAACAATGCCAAATTTCCTCCATGAAGTGGGTGTAAATGCTGGCTCGCCGCTTTCCAATCGAAGCATCTAA